CGTGCTGCGCGGCGCAGAAGTCAGCCGAGCACCATGGCGGAACGTGAAGGGAGGTGGGGCGGTGACGTTCACAGCCAGGGGGCAGGGCCTGGAGCCGCTGTCATGCCGCACGTCACCGCCCCATCCCCCTTCTCCTCCCGCCGTGGCACTCGGCTGACTTCTGTGCCGCTCAGCCAGGCAGCCACGTGGGAGCAAGCAGCGCAAGTGGCCGTTTGGGCCCCGCGCTCCCCATGCAGCACGGGCCGCCCAGAGGGAACAGCCAGCATTTCAGGCAACAGCGCCCCCCAGAGGGAACAGCCAGCATTTCAGGCAACAGCGCCCCCCAGAGGGAACAGCCAGCATTTCAGCATTACAGACTCTCAGACATTGGGCTACTATTTTTCAAAATAAGGGATATTAATAAGTCTGTGTAACAAAGTTTAAATACAGAAGTGTGTGTGTGTGTGTGTGAATCTTGTTCTTGGTGTATAAAAGTTAAGTTATTTACCAGATCGTAGATGAAGTTAGTCACCCAATAGATGGTCACACTAATGCCTGAAATATGCTGCAGTTGCTTCGCTTTGGTTTGATGTTCTTTTACCACGTACAGCACAAAGCTGGCTGTGGTGATGGAGTAGCCAATCAAGATAGACATGGAGACTAGGATGTCAAGTAAGCTACTGAGCCTGAAGAGAAAAGGGGAAGAAAGACAGAGTCAATGTTCGATCTCCCTTATTTAGAAAGCAATATTCATAGCTAACAGCTAACCCCGCCCCTTCCAGGATCTGATGCTGCCAACATCTCCTGTTAGTTGTGGATGCCCAACAGACCTTCCAACCGGGGGTGGGGGTGGGAAAGGGGTCATTTCCTTGGGTCCTGATGATTCAATGGGCCTAAGCCACTACCACAGGAGCGGCAGTGTATGGAGCTGCGGGCCCTTTAAATCACCGCCGGAGCACTGCATGACACGCTCCAGGCAGCTGTGAGGGCTGTGGGGGGCCAGCATGGCATGTCCCAAGGGACTGCCGCTTCCACCTGAGGCCCCACGCCTTCTGGGAGCACAGAGCTGGCCTCCCCACCCACACTTTGCCCATGGATCCGGCAAGTCTATTTCCCTCCCCGCCACTCAGGCTAATAAGCACTATGGCTTGCAGAAAGACTATGCAGGTTCCAGCCCTAGGACTGTGATAGCAGATTGTTTGGAAAGACAGAGGGGAAAATACGTCCTTGATGTCCACAGCATCCCCACATTTATAAGAGATTCTGGGAGGAAACTAAGGAAAATCGCTGGCTCTGTGGCTACGGGGGAGAAGAACAATTGGAGCATTCAAAAAAGTTGTGTGTCAATTCAGGTGGTTCCTGATTTCCAGGCAGCGGTTTTCATTCTATGGCCACTCAATGAATCAGAGCAGCAGGTATCAGTGCCATTAAGCCTCTTACATGACTTGTTCTTTACACTGCCCTCCGGGATAAGGGTGACTCACAACGGAAATACCTAGGAAAAGAAGAGACGTCGTTTAGAACATGTATGACTAAGATTCCTGTTGGGCATGGAGTGGGTCATGCCAGCTCCAGAGGACCAGAGGAGGTGGCTTCCGCTCTCACGCTGCCACCGATTGCTGGGGGCATCTTAGGGAGAAGTTTCACAACTGGCATTGATTGTTTTGAGTGGCTCTCCCAGGGTGTGTCTAGTCTGCATCCCTCTGTCGACAGAGGGATGTAGATTAGGCACATCGAAATTGCTAATGAAGCAGGGATTTAAATATCCCATGCCTCATTAGCATAAATATGGCCGCCGCTTTTTTTCGAAACAGAGTTTTTTCGAAAAAAACGGCAGTCTAGATGTGGATCCCTTTTTCGACAGATCCTGTAAACCTCAAAAAATGAGGTTTATTGGTGAGCTGTACCATACCCGATAAGTATTTTCCTGGGTAACCCAATGTGGAAGAATCTTTCACACTCCACTGGGTCTCCAGCCTTCCAGCAGATACCAGAATAAGCTTCAGACAACACTGCTCTTGGTTAGGAAGGTATATTTTCTGATGAGAAAACTGAAATTTAACAGTTCTGCCTTGTGAAGCTAGAAAGAAGCGCCTGGACCACAGAAAACAGCCAATGCCTGGCCATTGGTCTAATGGTTTGTTTCTGCCTTGTGTGCAACTCAGGTCTTTCCCAACCAGATTCATAAATTCAGGGCTGGTACAATCAAATGGAAAACGGTGATAGGAATTCTCCGACCATAATGTGGTGTGCAAAGTTCCGTCCAAACCTTTGGTTTAAACACTTCTCTTAGAAAGCCAGCTTCTAGCCCTTAATATGCATATCACATATGAAGGATTTTTGCTCTGTTAAGATGCAGTAAGAATCTATTTATCCATGGCACTAAGATAAAAAATATTCTGGGAGTACAAGGACAACCAGAAATGGATTAGAACCCACAACGTAACAAAGTCAACTCTCTTATAAGTCCTGTGGCACCTTAGAGACTAACAAAAACATATCTAGCATCATGAGCTTTCATGCACAAAACCCACTTCCTCAGATGAGTTGAAGTGGAATTATTATTAGTCTCTAAGGTGCGACAGGACTACCCGTTGCTTTTAAAGTTACAAACTAACATGGCCACCCCTCTGAGACTATCGGCCTTGGTTATTCTCACTTGTACTATGACTCCTGTTACTCTAGCAGAGTGCTGTAAAGGGGCTTTGGGATGAATCAGAATAGGCCAATAGAGCTATTTTCTCCATAATGCACACACAGAACAGCCTGTTTTGAGGGAACAAGACTGAACTCCTCTGGGAGAAAAAAACATTTGTCACTTGTGAAACGAGCCACTAGGGGGAGTGCTGGGAGTGGATGAGACGGGCTGGTGCTGGGAATGAAATGCTAAGGGGTGTGTTCTGAGGAGAATTCTAGAATTCATGGAACGGGGTTCGTCGCAGGCCAAACCAGGCTCTGCTGCATGCCTGAGGGAGTGACGTATTTTAAAAAGTTTTAAAAGTGACTGGATACATGTCACCTCAGGAAGAGAAGCAGAGATAAAATTTCTCAATGGCTTAAATGACTGCTTCTTGGAGCAGCTAGTGCAGGAACCCACAAGGGGAGAGGCAATTCTCAATTTAGTCCTGAGTGGAGTGCAGGATCAGGTCCAGGATATAATCGTTACAGGACCGCTTGGGAATAGTGACCATAATATAATAACATTCAACATTCCTGTGGTGGGAAGAACACCTCAGCAGTCCAGCACCCTGGCATTTAATTTCAAAAAGGGGAATTACGCAAAAATGAGGAGGTTAGTTAAACAGAAATTAAAAGGCACAGTGACTAGAGCCAATCCCTGAAAGCTGCATGGAATCTTTTTAAAGACACCATAATAGAGGCACAACTTAAATGTATACCCCAAATTAAAAAACATAGCAAGAGACCTAAAAAAGAGTCACCGTGGCTTAACCACCATGTAAAAGAAGCAGTGAGGGACAAAAAGGTATCTTTTAAGAAGTGGAAGTCCAATCCTAGTGAGATAAATAGAAAGGAACATAAACACTGTCAAATCAAGTGTAAACATGTAATAAGAAAAGCAAAAAAAGATTTTGAGGAACAGCTAGCCAAAAACTCAAAAAGAAATGAGGACAAATAACAAAATGCGGACAAGGGGGATCCAGTATGCGGACAAGGGGGATCCAGTAGATATAGTATACTTAGAATTTCAGAAAGCTTTTGACAAGGTCCCTCACCAAAGGCTCTTGTGTAAATTACATGGCCATGGGATAAGAGGGAAGGTCTTTTCTTGGATTGAGAACTGGTTAAAAGACAGGAAACAAAGGGTAGGAATAAATGGTAAATTTTCAGATTGGAGAGGGGTAACTAGTGGTGTACCCCAAGGGTCAGTCCTGGGACCAATCCTTTTCAACTTATTCATAAATGAT